GAGCTTCGCTTCCCGCGCCCACTCCCGGACATCCTCCAGCGCCTCGTTTGTCCCCTTGTCTTGCACTTCCCTGCCCGGATCACCAGCAGAGTGTGGTGCGTGTCGTCTCCGACGACTCCTCGGGCAGCTGGGTTCTGAAGACGCCCTCGTAGAGAAGTTTCCACAGGACCGGTTCGGAACAGCTTCCTTGTGGACAGCTCCTCTCTGCCTGTCGCGTTACGGTTCCGTCTCCCAGCACCACTTTCGCCGTCCTATCCTCGAAGAACGCTCCGGTGATGGGGATGAGGTTGCACAGAAGTTTTCTCCTCATTTCCCAGGTTGTCCCCCGAATGTCTCTTCTATTTCAAGCGCGATCGTCACGCAGTAGTCGCCCGACGCCTCGCGTCCCTGATGGTTCCGACTACCCGTCGGATGGCGTCCACGGTTGGCCTGCCCTGTCTGAACCCGCCCTGGTGTGGGTGGAACCCTCCGTTCTTCGTAATCTGGTAACTCGACATGCGTCGCAATGATTCCGTCCAGCGCCTTCCCGATCACCGGGTGACCGGCAGCAAGCTGATAGACTTGTACGATATCTGGGGTTTCGGGATGAATCGGATGGTTCGGGTCTTCCAGCAGTCTGGTAAGGTGCCCGTGTCGACGCACCGAATGCCTGTAGCGCGGTGATGCTGTCGTGCCCCAGCGCCTTCTTGGGGTCCATTCTGGCGATCGCTGCTCTTATTTCCTCCATATAGGAATTGCAAATCATGAATTCTAACTGTACTAAATATTCTGGAATAGTTCTCCATTCGAATAGCCGGGGGAAACGGTGTGCGAAGAAAGCATGATCGAAAAATGCAGGCGAGAAAGTTGAGACTGAGTATCGAAAATAAGGGAGGGGGTAAACTAGTAAAATTTTATAGGGACAATGATTTGGTTAAAATTTGGATAAAAACCGTCTTGGACAATATAGCAGAAATTATGGAAAAAATGGAAGAAGGGTGGAAATATAAGTAACAGAGCGCGAAGAAATAGAGGAGCTTGTGTACAGAAGAATAAACCATATGGTTTGGGAAGGAAGAAAAGAGGTCCTGGAAAGGAATTTGAAAGACGAAGATGGATGGAGATTGATTACTATAAAGCCACCAGCAATGGAGGTGGAGGCAGCAGTGAATAGTGATGCAGGTAGAATGCCATGCAGGAAGTCATTTCAGTACCAGAGGTAGAGTTGCATTTTCCATTTTCGCAGAATGTATGGCACATTACTCCGGAACTCAGAAGAGACGCTTTGGTGTTGTTCATGAGAAATCTAAAGATTTGTGTGAAGCACCATTGCCGTAGAATTCAAGTTACGCTCTGGGCGCTTAAGACAAATTTACCATCAACGCCTCGAGGTGGGTAAGGTGTGTTTCCTGCAGGAGCAGGTACGATTTCTTTATTATGTGTGATAAAAAAAGACCGGTCTTATGATAAACCTGGCTACGAATATTTCTGGAATACACTACACTACAGCACTTGAAAGAACAACTACAAATTCCACATATCGGATGCGACCTTGATAAGTTGAACTGGCGCATCGTGCGAAATATGGTGGAGGTGGTATTCCAGGGCACCGGGGTGGAAATATTGGTCTGTTGCTTTAAACCCAGAGGAACCCCTGAACCCATTCGTAAGATCATTACTAAGCCAATTGCAACGTACTTGAGTTAGTGCCAAGCTCGACGCGCTTGTGTTAAGTTATAAATTGTAAGTGATAAATATTAATTACTGTTATAAATTAATCCATCTTAAGACTGTTATAAATTTATTGTTTTTTAGTTGTAATAAACAAAATCACGTACCTAACTAAATTTGCGTTAGTTGAATTGGAGTTATCCAATGTAATAAATTACCTACCGCTGTTCCCAGTGGCGTAACTACGACTCCTTCAATGGTATGCTTCTATTAATTATAAAAAGATAAAACGTAAAAAAGCGCAATGAAAATGCTTGCTAATGTTTTATTTACGAAGGGCCATGTACCTGCTTTTTACAGTTTACAAATTACAGTCCGAAGAAAATTCTGTATCCATTGTTCACGGATGGTAAATATAGGTGAACAATTTGGAGCAGTATCGGCAATGTACAAAAATTAACAATCCGAGGAGGTAACTCTTGAATTTGAATAATTATCAATCTGACTTTAATCTAATACAAAATTTGGTATGCTCAAAAGTAGTCAACTCAAATAGATTTAAAAGCAACTCCACTCCTTTCCCATTTGTGAAAAATAAGATTCTTCAATTCAGAAGGTATGTGGAGGTCCTGGATACGGTAACCTTAGACTGAAGTTGTATGTCGAGATGAATGCCGCTAAGTAATTTTAACCCTCCAGCAGTTACCTCTGCACGGACGAAACAGTTACAGGCAGATTCATACACAAACAATTGAAGTCGCTAATCAAACTAAACGAGTTTAAACATCCAAGGCCCTGGCCAATATTAAACAAATGAAAATAAGAGAACATTTAAAGTGAAACAATTAAATAACAAGAAAACTCCAGGGTTACCTACCCCTAGTTACAAATACAAGTCACAATAAAACGAAGGGTTATAATTATAATTAAAATTAAGTACATTAATTACCTTCTGTTATGGCACAAATATTACACCAAGCTTGACAATTAAAGTTTGAACAAAATTAACTGGACTCTTAACGCAGAAAGCAGTGACGCTAAATTTTGCAATGCACCTGTGAACCAATGAGTTACAAAATGCAAAATCAGCAGGGCTAAATCAAGACACTATTTTCTACAGATACAGATTAATCTCGTTGAACAACTGCTGATATAAGGAAAGGGCCCCCAAATATTTTTGAAGACGGGCTTCTAAAATGCAGTGACGCCACTGGCTGTTCCGCAATGTAGAAATGTCAAAATGTAGGTACCCTGTAACTTAGGGTTTCAATTGGTTTTAATTTTCAAAAGCGTGAATTAATTGTCATTAATTTCTTTACCGGTAGCCGTTTTATTTGTAAATTAGTTTTTAGCACATTTTTTTTCGATGTATTGCTCCATTAGAATAGTAAGCGTCTTATTAAATGGTAGGTTGCGTAGAATATCTTATAATTATAAACATTGTTTCTCTCGGTAATTGATTTCGGAAATCAATTCGATCATCAGAGTCCTTAGCATCAAAGGTTATAATACATAAATATGTATAATAGAGTAGTTCAAGTAGTTTAAGTGAGGGATAAATCGTATTGAGATGCGGTGCTGTGTATGTGGTTTGAGGTTATGTTATGTTGCACTTTTTATAACTTGTTGAAAATATGGCGGCACTGTCTCCGGTTGTGAGTACAACGAAACTCACAAACACCGGGTACGGCTTTCGGTTCGAATGTTGACTTAATTAACAATATCTACGTGATCTCTTACATTTTTCGCTTTTACAGTATGTAACATTGCACCAGAGGTTCGATTAAAAGTCAATACGCGATCGAAAAATGTAGAGTTCGACCGGCAAAAATTTTAGTCAGAATCAATATCCCCCACTAGATTTTTACTTAAAATACCTCGCCGAATCCCAATGCGAAACGGACACCTTCCTCAACGCAACTTTTGTTGAAAGCGTGCCCTCTTAACCAATACAAATCCCACATTTTCATCACATGCTTGGATTTTCGCCAAACAGAACGAAACTTTTAAGGTCTGTCTGTGACATTTAGACTCTTATCTGGTTAAACACTCGCCGTTATCTTAACGCGCTTTATTTTCTGTTCCCTTTCCTAATAAAGCGTCACATGTATACAATTGCCTATACTAGTAATTTCAAGAAGGAGAATCCTAATAATGTGATGAATGTGAAGAATTTGAATAATAATCATTGGAAGTTGGAAGTTCAAGGGTCTGGCAAATCGAAAGAATTTAAACAAATTTACTATGAATTTAATCGGAAAAGAGACGACCGATAAATCGGAATAATTCGAAGGTTAGTTAAAATGTGAAAAGGCTGGGCCGAAGCTGAGAATGGGAAGATACCGATAAAATACCATACGAATCTGAGAGTATCGGAACGATCCGAAACTTCCGAAGGAATTAAACCCGAAGTAATCCAAAAAAGTGTGAACTTAAAGAAACAAGAAAGATCTATCTATCAAATTTCACCCGCAAATCGATTTGTGGTTAAAGGTGAACAGACGGACGGGCAGACAATGTTATAAGGTACATACCGTGTGCCCCCAGATTGTTTGGTCGTCGCTTGTAAAGGACAAAAAACTTTCGAAGTGAATTTTGAGCTTCTGGGAATCAGCCCTGTTTTGTTGGAAACTAATTTTTGACAAAATGTTAGTTTTCAAAACGTCAAGGTGCCTTGAAATTAAAAAAAAACGTTTTTTTAAAAACCGGTAAAGTACTCTCGGGGGACAAGTCCTAGTCCTATTCTAATTTTTTATGTCTTTATTTTGTAACTGGAAAACATACAAAAATGAAAGTTGGCCTAGAAATTTTGCACGTTTACTCAATTTTGAACAACTTTCCTTATTAACATTTGTCCGTATCTTGTCTCCAAAGAGGTATACTGGTATGCAAAAAAAGTGTTTTTGAAAATTTCAAAGGCGCCCTTGATGTTTCTAAAGTAAAATTATGTTAACACATTAGTTTCCAACAAAACAGGGCTGATCGCCAGAAGCTCAAAATTCAATTCTAAAATTTGTGGTCTTTTACGACCAAACAATCGGGGGACACACTGTATATGGACATACTTGGACTATACATATAAAATTTGTATTCTATACAAACCCTTCATTTCACCCTTATTTTTCTTTCCGTTAACTTAATTCGAGTGGCATATCATCAGATATTTTGAATGTCCCAACATTCCACGAACCTTCGCTTATCATTTCAAGGCAATAATTATGGCTAATTAGGTATACGAACAGCTAATTACGTTAGCTAGATTGCAACGATAAGTTTCTACCATAAAAGACCGTGCATTTATTAAATTAAATGTAACTACTACGCACATTAATTTTCTTCTTTCGTTTCAGGCTGTTAAATGACGCGGACAAGAAGCCGTTTGTCGAAGAAGCGGAACGTTTGCGTGTTATCCACAAGCGTGATCACCCCGATTATAAATATCAACCCAGACGCCGAAAGCAAAACAAAGGGTCGACCGAGTCTCTCAATCAACTAACGCACGTACAAAACGTTTCCTTCGGCCGTTGTTTAAAGCAGGAGGACTCCCCTTGCAGCCCTAGAAGCCAAAATTCAACGTCGCCATCTTCGTGCTCGTCGCCCCAAAGTCCGTCGTTGTCGGCGGGACAACCCTTAAGGCATTGCATGGAGCAGGCCGGTAGTAGCATAGATTTTAACCGATTACCAGACTTAGATAATAGTTACATGCCCGAAGATTGTCTCGATAGTCACGATTTGGATCAGTATTTACCCCAAGATAACGGTCACGCTTTCCCCGCGAATGTGTACCACGAAACCTACAAGCGACACATCGAAGAAGATGAGAGCAATAATAACACGCACAAAATCAAGAAAATGTGCGCCGACCCTTTGGGGCAACCGCATGAAGTATTCGAAGAACACACCACGCCGCTACCCTTCATTCGTTACCACGAGCTGCAACCGACCAACCCCCTAACGAAAACCGAACGCTACGTACCGCCACCGACGACATCGGTGTTTGGCTACAACCACCTTTCCACAACATCCGGTTATTACACCAACAGCGGCCACCACCAGTACCTACCGCCGTACCAGTATCTACCCCAACGTTCTCCAGTGTTCGGCAACCCTTCGATGGCCGCCTACGGTGTGAACAGCGCGACCACCTCCGACACGTGGACCCCTTACAGTATGTAACCTACGACTGTTGTACCTTATTTATAGTTTTTGTTTAAATTACTTTTGTATTTTTTATAAGTCTTAGCTTTTACCCATTGTAGGTTACACGAAATATTTTTTTAAATAAATCGTTTCATTCCTCGTACATTAACTTTTTGTACCGCCGCCCGCCACACTCCTCAAGTGGACCTTATCCAGACCACCAAAATATTTTCTTCGGCAGTGAGTGCGTACTCCGGCGACTGACATCCGAAAGGTAAGTCTGCTTAAAATTTATAGTGTAATACTCTGAAAAAAACGCTGCACTCTAATTACGAGGATTGAAATAGGGAGCGAGTAGTGTCCCGTTTTAATTGTAACTTGTCATGTCATATCACTTAATTATGTTAATAATAGATTTTTATCGCTCGTAAAAGCGGAAAGGTCAGTCTGTAAAAAATCGATGATCAGTTAAAAAAAGCTTCATTACAAGTCTATTTGTGATACATATACGCATCAGGTTCAATACTTTTCTTTGTCAGAATCGAATCTATCTGTTTTCTTCAAAAATGACCTACATTTTTGAAGAAATGAGAACGTGCTATTTATTGATTATTGGGGGATGCGTCCAAGATACCTACTTGAAATTTTTGTGTCTCATAAGTCAGAGTCTCTTCCTTTCATGAATTGCTGATTGCCGCTCAATTCATGACGAATTTTGAAGACGTCTACCTACAACAAGAGGGGGATGAGGAGGCTTCTATTTCGAAGGTAGTCTAATGAAAGGTTTGGATGATAAAGACTGGTTTTCCATCAATAATAGTTCCTCGTGAGTCTGTGAAGGGATACGCAAACAAAAAATTTGTCTAGCCACATATTTACTATTCGCGATTTAGATTAACAGTGGTGACAGCACATTGTAATTAACTAATTACTAATGGTGGACTAAGAGCGCCATTGTGTTTATTTACAATGACCACAAGTAATTTTTACGGCTGTAAAAGTAAATATATATATTCCATTTGCATCAAAGAAATTACACCTTAAAAAGCAATGATAGTTCACAACATCACATTTTATCACTTTAATTCAAGAATTTTAAATGTGACCAGTGTAATTATGAACCAACGATAATTAAAGAAATCGTCGCCTTACACCTAATATTTCCAAAGTCTTTAATTGTGAATAGTGCAATTACACAACCAACAAGGATAAGTTAAAGAATCATTGCATCACATTACCAAAGTTTTAATTGTGAACAGTGCAATCATTCCTTGACCGCTTTTCCATCACTGCTATCGTTCGCATCGCATCACCTATTAACACACATAACATTTAATTTTTAAACAGTGTAATTGCGCTACTCGCGATAAGCAAAACTTAAAGAGGCATATTATTGAAGGATGTTACGTGTACTCTGCGATTAGGTATGCCAGATAGTAAGAAAATTTTAAATCTTCAATTAATAAACCACGATACATCGAAGATTATCTATTGTTTAAATTGTGGTCAGTGTAATTGTGTCGCGAATAGTAAGGCTGTTTTAAAGCGTACATAAGGGAGTGTCAGCGAGTTGTAAATTTGCACGAGTCCGCTAGAAATGGAATGATAAATTGTGATGTTTATTTGTAATTAGAAAATTAAGTTAATTGCGTGTTCAAGACACCCTCGAGTTCTTAAGAAAAGGGCCTTGCAGGTATATTGTTATATTTTCAAGTCAAAAACGTTTCCAATCTCATTAATGAACTAGATTTTTTATATTCGTAATTAATGAACAACCTGGTACAAAATTCTATTCAAAATAAATTGGATGCTAAATAAGATTTAACCCACCCAAAATAAAGGTATTGCTGAACTCAACTTCACAAAATAATAAGAAAAAATGTACCAATATCTTTGGTTTGAATTCACTCATTCATAAAAAATAAACAAATTTGTTCACGGGATAAATTCCCGTGGGTCGACCTCTTCAGGATTGTTACAATGACTAAACCAATTTTTTATGTAAAATCCCGATAAAATCGACTCCTTTGTTTACTCAATGCAAAAAATTCAAAATAATTTACTGATTTATCGATGAGTCAAAATTTTCTCCAATTGACAGTGATTTTCTCCTTTGGAAAGGTAGCAGCAATTTAAAAAATTGAATGATGGAACGCCTTGTACAATACAATCAGACCTTTTGTATCACCAAGTAAACAATTTGGTTACTCGTAGAAAGTGAATTTCGAAAGATGTATTAGAGGTAGAATACGGAACAAATCATGCTACAGGTTTCTCGAAGTTTAATAGTTGAAATTTGGTTTATTGACTGGAATAATATGCCAATGTTCCGCAGTATACCCTTTTGTTTGACAGCCAACAAAAGCACGAATAAATTTCCTTTCACCTTCTTACCGGTTGACGTTTAATGTAGATCTAATAACATCCCGCATGCACTAGAGACGTAAACAGTTTTGATTGACAAACTTGTTTTTTAATCGTCTAACCGTGCTAAATATATTGGCAATGAACATTTTGCACCTTGGACCCCAACGCTTTCGTGGTAACTTTGGAAAGGGCTTTTAATTTCCTGCGCGTCTACTGTTTACTTTTCAAATTCGAGCGACTCTTTTGGAAGATGCACTTGACTGTAGGGCTCAGGTAAATATGTGCAACAAACTACGTAACACCAGTAAGTACCAAGACAAAACATTGGCATCTGACCTTTCAGATATTTCATCAGTTGCTCATAATGGGGGAAGTTTTATCAGATTTTATGAGTCTAAATGTTTGAGGTTTGATTATGTAGATTTTGTCATGATTTATGTTCTTCAGGGCTGTTTTGTGTAGCTAATATTTCTTATGAACGTGTTTATTCAGTAAAAGCTTGAATATCCATTAGATTTATTTGCCATTTGACAACCCATGTCCTTCAAAGGGCTTGCTCAAATTTAAACACTAAACCATAGGCGTGTACGAAATGATGTGTCACTCGACCCAGCGTTCATTTTTATTGAAGCGGCGACAACCCAGGGGGTTGATGCTAGGGTGTAAATTTTAAAGTAAAAGATGTCCCTCTTCCAACCAACATTGACATGAATTGATCAGTACTTCCCGAAAGGTCACGTAACGGACTTTTTATGTGTACAAAGAAAAATAAATATTCGTATAAATAACAAATTTAGCATTGCGCATGCGCACATCTGATTTTTACAAAATGCGATATGTTTATCTTTACTAGAAGAATTTTTAATTAAAATTTAAAAAATATCTCTAAATAAGAAATTCGATATTGCACACGCGCACAACTCATTTTTACAATATGCGATAGGTTTGTCTTTACTAAAGTATCTGTGGTTAAGATTTCTAAAAAAATATCTCCATAAACGAGGAAGTTTACATTGCGCATAGGCACATCTAATTTTTACAATATTCGATATGCTTGTCTTTACTAGACTGTGGTTAAAATTTAAAAAAAATCCCCATAAATAAGAAATAAATTGACACTGCGCACTTGGCATATGCGCAAATTAATCGTAAAGATTTTGCTGGGTTGAAATGGCAGAGCTATAAGCTACCGAATGAAAAAGAAACGAACAAAATATCTTGAATACTGGAGTAGTACTCTTACTTTAGACATTATTTTTTAATTCTTAAATTGTTTTGGTATGTGTTTTTATTTCTGAGTTTATCTATATCAAGTGTACACTATGCTTTACAAGTGCTTACAATTGTAACAGTTTTATTTTTGCAATTACATATAAATTATTTTTGGTTGAGTATCACTGTAATTTTAGCTCGAAGATCATTGTAGTTTTCTAATTTTTATACTATTTCGTGGTGGCGAATTATGATTGGTGGTTTCTTAAAGGTGTTGACTGTTGGACTCCCCATCGTGGCTTTTGTTTCGGTTTTATTCTTTTCTTTACGTTACGTGCATCGCTATAAATTTCAATGAAGGTGTAATTGAAATAGTTTGAAGTATAAGTATTGTTTCTGGTGATTCACACGTTTTCCTCGTAGTAGTTTTGGAATCGAGTGACCACTTTTCTCCCAATTTTGGAGACTATAAATTGAATTCATTAGTGGACGCATGCATGGACTGCCAGTCGAAGGTTGAACAATTTAATTTTCAACCGTTGTCGTGCTGTTATTGTTTTTTAAATCGCCCTCTTATTAATTAAGAACCTTCAAGTGTTAATTTCACGTTCTAATTGTGAATGTCAGTCCTACATCCTGAGTGTAATTAAAAGTTCAACTTTACGTCTACGCCAATTACAAGGTATATCAACATCTGTCTCTTAACAAAGTCCACATATCTGCTAGAGGCTAGCCGCTAGACGAACAATCTGTAACGGCTACCTTGTTATAACAACGCTTGGAATGGAGATAAGAAATTGGGTCAATTAGAATAATCCATAATTTTGGAATAAAGCAACTTCATAATTATTGGATAATTCCTCTTCAAGGGAATTGTGAATTATTAAATTATTATAATCGATCACTTTTGAATTAGGGGTTTATTTTCCATGTTTACCGTAATAATTTTGATATATGGAAATATTTTGTATTAGAGGGGAAAATTTACGTACGTTTAATTTTTGCATTTTTGTTGTGGATTAATAAATTAGTAAATAGTATTTCATTGGTTCATTTAATTGTTACTTCCTTGAAATCTTCCCAGTTTTATAAGAAACTGGGTGGTGCTCAACCCTTTTCGAGGAAGATCCAAAGAATTTTATGCCTGACGAACTAACCGCTGTAAAGCATCTGCCCTTCTCCTTTCACATCTCTGCGCTAGGTAGCCCTTTCTGCGTCGGGTTTTGAGAAAAAGCACTGCCATATTAATTAACGTTACACAATATCCCGATTACGCCTGGCCTGTAGGTAAGTACCTACTCAGTCCGCCCCTGTGTAGCGCGTTTTACTGCCACTGGCGCGATCACAAAAAAAAGTATGTACCCCACTTCAACCCTCTGATGGAGAGTGCATGCAGCACCTCCCTGAAAATAGTAGTCTACGGAATTTTTAAAACTTGAGATACATTTATGTACAAACTCTCATAAATCACCCATTTCCCAATACGTAGACGCATGGACTCTCTTTTCTTGCAAATTATTCCAGATGGTTACGCAGCGCGGTATCAATTATATAAACTTGGATGCTTCCTCCCCAT